AGGAGGTCTCTTTCCCATTTCATGTTAGCATTTATGTTGATCTTTATTAATCAAAAGCCAGCAGTAGTTTCTTTTTTTCATTTTTAAGAAAATGTAATGAAAGGTCCACTGACCGCTGGAAGGAGCATTCAAACAAAATACTAGTTTTATCAATGTGGTATCTCCATGCATCATCGATCAGATCCTTAGGAATCGCTGAAACAACTTCCATGTATTGTAAGAATTTCCGTTCAGTTGAACTGAAAAGATTACTGATTTCTTGAATGCCAACAGTTTAGCATGGTAAAAGGTACATGTTTTCCACTTACTTTGCCTTGTAAATTTTTGCATCAAGTGTAGTCATATTTTTCAAGGGTCTTTGTGACAACTTTCGGCCACTGAGGCTAGAACTTGGCTTGAGAGACATAACTACTTGAAGTCAGAGAGGTCAGTGTCATCTGAACTATGTAGTGCCATGGAATTTTATGTGCCTGTATAAAAATTGAAATAAGAAAACTTCATCTAAGAAATCATAATATTCAAATGTCATTAACCGATAACGAAAAAACAACGGTCAGTATGCATAAACATCTGGAAACAATGCATGTATGACTAAACGTATTAGATTGCAGTAACTGAAAAGGAGAGATCGTAAGAATAAATGAAAATAAAATCAGTGGCATCAAAGTAAAGAGTAAGGAAAAAGTTGCACAAAAGATAAGCTTAAAGGAAAAGAGGAAAAAACTTAATGGAACAAGCAGCATTTTGGCAGGATGTAAAAGACCTACCTCCCCCTTTTATTGCTCTGAACACTTTGATGTGTTATTTTTTGTATGAAAATCTGTCTCCTTCAAGTGCATTTAGCGGTATAATGCTAGAAGGCATATTTTTGAGGCGATAAGTGTATATTTTTTGACTGTGTTCAGAGTTGCATGGTGATGTTTTATCTCGATGGAAAATATGTTGTAGCATGGGATAGTATGTTTTGTTGTTTTATATAAGGGACGAATTCATACATTGGTTATGAAAAGAATCTTGGAAAATTAGTAAGCTATTAAATGTTTACTTTTAGTGAGTTTAGAGTAATGCTAGAAGCTAATCTAAATCTCTTTGTTGGAAGAACTGTTATCACCAAGAGACATTCAGGGTTGTCACTAAGATTTCAAGTTGCAGGGTAAATACAACAAGTAGGTGGGGAATCAACCAGCTAGGGATTTTGTTTGGTTCTATTCTTCTTCTATTTTCCTATGAAAGTAGCCGGGGATCACACTCATAGTAGCTGGGGGAAATCCCTGGCCCCTGCGTCTTAATGAGAGCCCTGGACGTTGCTCTTATGGAAAAAGATATTTTCCATGGGAAAAATTCGATAAAGGGAAGCACGAAATACCAAGAAATATAGGGCCTATTATCAGGGTTGTCAGAAGTAGCTGGCTGCTGGCGAAAATCGCTACCTACTTGATTAGTATCGGCCGGCTACTCTGCTTGGCATTTCTTTACAGGTGGCATTTTTTACATAAAATATCCCTGGAATGGCCGCTTACTTTGACAACACAGCCGTCTACTTCAAAACTTTCAGACAACCCTAGATTATTTAAATGAAGTCTAACGGTTTAGGAAATCTTTGAACCTCCAGATCTCTTTCTTAGGGGGTTATTTTAAGAAGAAAAAAACTTTTCTAGTGTATACCATATGCTTTTATGAAACTGTTCATGATAAATGGTGTCTTCATAAAAGCATTCAGCAAACTGAAAATGGCTTAGAACACGGTTTTGTTAAACACTGGCTAAACTCCATTTACAAAGCAGGGTTCATGGACACCTCCATATACCTCAGGACATTCTCACTTACTACTTTCCTGGGGTGTTGATATTACTAGTAAAACCTTGGCAGAGCTGTGATTTTAACAAAATAGCATATCCTCATGCATAAACTAGTAGCAATGAGGATGGCCTAGTTTCGGCAATGAGCTAATTAAATAGATTACCAAATTTGAGTACTTAAGGCATAAAAAGGCTAGCACAGAGTAGGTTACCCATGTATCATTAGAAACATAGAACTGAGGATGACTGCATTTTTGTATTTTGCTGGGTTTATTTGCATATACAATTATATACAGCCAAACAGATATAACAAACACAAAAACAAAGATTGTATTGATTGTACTGAAATGTTTCTTTTATTACCAACATTTTCTTTACACTATATGTTTTTTGGCTAGCAAGAAAATGAAGCGTTACTAGTGTGTTAACCAAAGTCCTTTGGTTATTCAGGCTTTTTTAACACAACATTAGCTACATGATCAATGTTTATTATTTACCTTTCTTCATATTTGGCAGAACTTTAAAATAGTCTGTTTTGTTTTAATAATGCAATGCAATTTTTAAGTATAAATGAAAACTAAATTTATACAAATAAACAACTAAAGATGGTTAAACTAAATGTCAAATTACCTTTAGTATTTTTTAATGATTGATGCGTAAGATTATGGATTTAGCATCATATGTAGCTTGAAAGTCTTCCATAAAGTTAAAAACAGTTTCTCTCAAATTGCATTTTCCTCCAAAGGTAATTCTTCTCAAGACAATTTCTTGAGCATTTCACCGGTAACTTTCAGTGCATTTGGTTTTTGTTTGTCATCAATGACTTCAATAGTAATTGACAAACCATCTGTTCACTTATTGGCCTTGATCATGCCACATTTTGCACAATGGGCAACTTTCAATGCTCCTGACTGGCTGACTTTTTTGAAACATTTATAACACTTTAAAAATTTTCACAGTGTGGTACATTTGTCACCTCTTTGGTCACCGCTGTAACTGTCCCTTTGTTTTCTTGAACAGTGATTGCTGCCAACTTTTTGTTATTGCTGCTCTCTGTTATGGTTGTTCGCCTTGTAGGTGAAAGTTTTTATGCCCAGATGATATTTTCAACTGTCAATGCGTATGATTTGCCTTGCTTTATCTTGGCAATGTTTTCTTCAAACACATCCAGGGGAATGCGTCCTGTTAAGTCAGATAAAGTCGGCTCCACCAGTTGAGGGGGCTTACTTAAGTTTCCAACAGTTCTTAGCTCTTTTAATTGGGTTATTGCCCTTGTATAGTTACTGTATCCTACTCTTTGTGGTTGTTAAGAACTTCCTGTATTGAAATGGGTTGCCAGCTCTGAATAATGGAAACAGTATTTAGTCACTTGTGGTGTTCCCACTTTGGTCATGTCGTTTACAACAATTTTCTGGCCATCCTCTGTTTAGGCATAGTTGACAAGTTTTATTGGAGTTCTACCTCTTTGACTCTGCTTCAAGAAAGTTTTTTTTGAGGAGAGTTAATTTTAGCCTAACAGATTCCTAAAATCCAGGTTCTTAGTTGTGGGGATTTACTCTAAGTGATCTTACAATGGCAGTCATGAACAGTGGCTTGCTGAAAGCTCAATTCCTCTCTCAGCCTGTCAGGAATCATCTGTTAGTAGTGACTAAGGCAAACAGCATTGCGAACCATGGACTGAACATACGTTTCCAAAATGTTTGCATTTAGTTGAGAGCAGTATAAGCGTGATGTTTGAATTGCTACCATGCTAGATTCTTGTAACATGACAGACCTTGTTGAACTTAATTCAAGATTCAAGTTTAGCACTGCACAAGCATGGTGTATGAACTGGATCAAAGAGTTCCCAAGTTAAGAGTAGAATGGTGAATATATAGGTCATTTAATTACTCCATAATGTCTGTTCAGAGATTGCTTGCCATAAAGATCACCCCACCCCTCTTTTTTACATGATAATGGCTCTCAGTGAAAGCAGATAGACAATTGCTCTTCACAGAAAAACTCAGACTTATTAGCTGCAATGATTTCAGTATAATGATCAGCATTAATTGCTGACTGAGTGACTGCATCTTCTTCATGTAAAGAATGGGCACTGTCACAGTACAGCCCACCTTTAACTTCATTTCCATCACAAATGGCATTGGTAAATGAGTGAACTTAGTCATTAAGTTGATCCCAAATGTACTCTGAAGGCAGCAAGCCTCAAAATTCACTGCAATCAGTACATCAGTGCATAAGTGCACTTACACATTTTTCCTCTGCTAAACATAAACCGTATGTGCCATACCTTGGTGAGCTACGTAAAAGCTATACCATCGTTCAATTTTTAAACTGTAAAATCCCTGAAAGAGGTTCCCTCATTGGAGCATCATGTAAAAGGTTTTGAAAGGTTTCACCCCAGTGAAGATGTTTGGCCTGCAGGGGCAGATCGAGGAATTTCTGAAAGGGGGGGTTGTACACTACCGAAGTAGCCTTGAACACCAATGGAGTGGAAGGTGAGTGACAGCCCCTGCCTCTGGCACGATCTCTTGAGGGGGTCCAGAGCCATACCCCTCCCCCCAAAAAATAATGTTTACGATTTTTCCCTAGCTAAAATGCCATTTGCAGAATTCCTGAGACTTGAAAAGTGTTGTAAAGGCATGATATAAAATCTGGAATTTACCTTATTTCTCATTCAGAAACCCAAAAATAATAATGGATGATTGAAAGAGACAGCAGTATCAACAATAGTTATTTGTACCTCAACGTACCTCAATCAAACAGCGTAGCCTGAAATAGTCTTCTAGGATGAGCTTTTACAAAAGCATCGCAGATCTCGTCTACTTGGAATCTCTCTGGGTAATGCATGGCGATCACAGCGAGATCTGAGAAGTGTTCTTCAGACATCGTTGATCTGGTGCAAGTCTTGATCCATTTCATGAGTGAAAAGGACCGCTCAGCTTCCGCACTACTGATTGGTAGGGTGCATGCAATTAGAAGAAGACGATGGATGTTTGGAAAAGTATCCTTGTCACGCACCAAGTGCTAATAGAAGATTGTTTGGAAGGTCCTTCTCTGCTGACTGCCACATCGTTTGCCATCTTCTCAGCTCATTTCCAAGGGATTTGGGAAATGGAAGGTCATTCTCCCAGAACAACATGCCTTTTGCTGCTTCAGATAGTTCCTGGGTGTTATTAACTATGATTGAGGGTACTAGATAAAGCAAGTGACGGGCGTGGCGATCCTCGTCAGAAAATCGGTCTTGCATTTGAATAATCAGGGAATCAAGAAGGGGAATAGCCACAGATTTTTTGTAGTGATCAATTGGACTAGAACTGGGAATGTTTGAGCGATTCCTCTGTATGCTAGTCTTTCTGGGTATAGCTTCAACGATTCCTAGTTTCTCAGAAAGGTCTAACATTTCTTTGTACCAGACTTGAAAGTCAATGTCAATGTTTTTTCTAGCAGACTTGATGTTTCCAATTACTTCGTCAACCATTGTGTAAGCTTCAAAAATATCTTGATCTTGTTTCTGCAGCTTTGATGCAAGAGCTTTTCTTGGTTGTAATGAAAACCACTACAGTCTGGAATGACAACAAAGAGGCTTTCAGTCCCTGGGCTTTTGTGATAGTATCTTTGTCCCAATTCCAGCTTCCAGTAGACGATTTCAAATGTGGGTACTCGTGGGGAAAAATAACTGCATCTAGAAAGGTGACAAGGAGCTCATACATTTCCAGGAAAACATCTAGGCACGTGTGTCTTTCCACCCAGCGTGTCTTGCAAAGACCTGGAAGCTTGCTATGAGAATTCTCAGGCAGGTATTCTTTCAGTGTCAATTCGAACAGCTGCTGCCGCTTTGGGCTGTTATTTAAAAATAGATATGCTTCGTTAATAAGGCCTATCAAATTTCACACTTCTGACAGTTTGCATGTTGCTGCGATGGAGAGGTTCAGGCAGTGAGCATAGCAAAGCGTGTAAAGAGCTAATGGACTGGTCTCTTTTATCTTCGCCTGCACTCCTTCCTTTCCACTTGACATAACGGAAGCTCCATCATATGCCTGACCACGGATGTTGCTAGGATCCAAAGAAATAGATGGGTCAGAGAGAGATTCCAAAATCTTTCTTGAAATCATTGTGGCATTTGTTCGTTCCAAGTGCATGAAACTAATTAGGCATTCTTTGACATGAGGATCGTTTGGCGTTGACTGGTCCACAAATCTCAAGCATAAAGATAAGATCTCCTGGTTTGAGTGTGGATCTGTACACTCATCTGCTATAATCGTGAAAGGAAGGTCCTTGGTCCTTAGCTCTTCTGTCAGCCTTTCCTTAATTTTTGACGCATACACGTGAATGACATCATTCTGGATAGTTTTGCTAGTATATCTTGCTTGTCGGCTTGATGACAAGAGGTGCTTCTGAAGAGAGTCGTTTCCTTTCGCCAGTAATTGTAGCAGGGCAACAAAGTTTCCTCTGTTAATTTCATAACTAGAAAAATCAACACGATCATCACGATGACCTCTAAAGGCCAGACTCTGCTTTGCCAGAAACTCTACAGCCAAGACAATCTGTCGTAGAATTTGTTTGTTCTCAGTGGCTTGATTGGCTACGGATGTCGCCAGCTGGGAATCTACTCTACACCTGTCAGGATTCTCAAAAGCTTGTTTGAAGAGGTCTGCCTGTTCAGTTGCGTATTTATGCATTACAGATTGCTCATGACAGTTGAGGATTCCATCCTTGCCAAGTGCCTTATTGTATGATTTTTGGTATGGTGCTGTGACCAATACACCTGGTGTTGTTCCCTTGGTAACCTTGTGAGGGAATAAGATACAGTGACTACAAATACCACCTTCAAGTAAGTTACTGTAGCAAAGCCAGGGAAACTGTTTTAGCCATTTGGATTGAAAAGAAACTTTCCACGTCTTCTTTCCTTTGGTACCTTGATGAGAATGAAGTATATCGGACTCAGAGGGCTTCAAGTGAAACGTAAGGTATTGCATTCTTTTTTCATCTGTAATTTCATGCGATAATCGCCTCAAAACATCCCACGAGCCTTCAGCAGCTTTCACAACAGTACCCAAATCGATCTTTGTGCCTGTGGTTGAACCAGCAGTGGCAGCCACAGGACCTTTTGTAACTACATCTAACATTTTTAAAAACAATTATTTGTATACATTCATAACCCTTAATATGTTAGTCCCTTACCTACTTCAAATAACCTCAATAAAATTGAACATACATACTTTTTATTTGACAAAATTTCAATTGACAATATTTGAAGTTGTCATACACACAAATTAAAAAATACCATAGCCTGCTGATATTTTACTATACAGGTCTCATACAAAATGTCTTGGTTAGACCTTCAGTAAATGTTATAATAAACTATTTTCTATAACACAACACTGTTATGCCACCATATTATATAACATATTTTTACTCTTAGCGGCAAACAAAACTAACGTCATATTCTTCCCCTAGAGCATAGATATGTTCTTCATCTTCAGAACTGCAAGATATTTCAAAAAACTGAAGGTGATTCAATTTTTGCAAAATCAGTCTTATGTCTTTTCTTGCAAGGCTTACACCAATCAGGCACAGAACATTCGATAAGCATGAAGAGGCAGTAATTGTTGTCACTTGATTGGCAGTGAATCCTACTCGGTTGAGATATATCTTCTAAGATTTCTTAATTGCTTTAAAATAGCAGTACAACAACAGGTATCTATTTTTTGACAGTCATTAAGGATCAAGGTTTCAAGAGGAGAGGACTCAAGCAATAGGAAATTAAGGGATGATATCGGTTGTCCACTTAAATCCAAATATCTCAAATGTTTAGAAAATTCTAGACTATTTCCTATTTCCTATTTCCTAGTAATGCTTCCGGCCTCATTTCTGATGTTGTCATTTCGATATATCGTATGGATAAATATTTGAACCCACTGGAGTGTGACATGATGTTAATAAACTGTTCTTCACTTAAATATCTTATGTGCCACTTATCAAGAAGGAGGCAACTCCACAGAATGTTGTTGTTGTTTACAATGTGCCTCCACCTTCGTGAGACCAGGCATAATGTTTTAAGCATTTCTTTAAGGGAGAAGTTTTTAAACACCTCGACCAATACTTCATCAGGCAAAGCTGTGTACAAAACGAAATTAATACTAGTCAGTTTTACTTGAAATTCTCCAGACTTCTTGCATCATTTGAATAAATACTCTTTTCTCTGACTGGTCAATATAAGTTTACCATTCAGGTAAATAAAAATAAGCATCTTCTACCTTCGATCCCGGACACTTCAGCTTGATCATCTGGGTTGCTGAGTTTTGGTAGCTTGTTCGGAGGAGCAGAACAGCTTCTTTCTGTATTTATCACGACAGTTCATTTAGAAGTATTAATTAAGTCTTAATATCA